TTGCTTTGTATGTCAACAAATACCGTGCAATGTATGTGGCTGATGCAGCAATTAACGATGGTTTATAGTTCATACAATGATAATCCAACAATGCCAGATCAATTAAATACTTCCCAATCGAATGTTGCTCGTCGGATGCTGATGACACAAATGAATAACGACGTAGAAACTGGAGACTACAACGAGACAAAGAAATAATTCATATTGGTAATGATAACGAAACCACTGCCGATCGACCGGAGGCAGTAAAAATGCAATACACTCACTCCATCTTACCCAATTTCTTCATGAAATGAAACCTCGACACATACTGACAAAACTGGCGAGATCCTGGGGATGGCTCCTGTTTTTCTCAGCAAAGGAGAAGCACAAAGCTTTCATAGTGCTTCTTCGACGATTTTGGAGTCCATCGATTTTCATCCAAAAATCTGTAGATCGCGATAACTCTGAATACTAGATACGTCTTGGAGTCAGAGTGTCTTTCAGCAAGTTGATTGATAGAAACTTCACACATCTCCTCAGACCAGGTCCGTAGCCAGGGGGGTGCCCGTTGTGCTTCGGCACATCCCATAAGTAAAAATTGCTATCTAACTGCCAGGAATCAGAACCGGTACAACCAAAAACAAAGTGCAAGGAAACCCGTACATCGATTTACATCTATAGTGCACCCCCTTAGCAAAATCCTGGCTACAGGCCTGCTTCGGACTTGCAGTCTTTCCACTCCTAATTCAGATATTCTGATCAATCAGTCATAATAGAGCTTGATCACTCCATATTGGAAACATAATGAGAACAACGTTCAAGCAGGGCCGTAGACAGGGGGTAAACAAACAGGACACGTACTCACCTCTTGAGATTTTACTTCAATGTATAATATACACTAAATTTATAGGTGATAAATGCCGTGTGAAGATAAAACGCAAGAAAAAGTGCTCGACCTAGCTTTAACATGGAAATTTAGACTAGTAAAGATGGAACTTTTTTGTAGATGCCCACCCCTTATCAAATTTCTGGCTACAGCCCTGCGTTCAAGCTTCTCTTTTTTCTAGTCAACACATTCGCCCCTTCATGTACTATCGGGCTCTGTTCTTTGAACGATTCCCTTCACATGGAAAGAGAGATTTCGAAACAAAACGAACCTTGTTGGTCGATTTAGCTCAAAACTTAAATCCTGTAGTATTTTCCTCTCCATTGCTTTCAATTGATCTCCTGTGTACGCATTATCCGTTAAAAATATCAGATCGTCCACCGATGGATGATGTGTTTCTTCTACTTTTGTTGCTAACAACAAAGTTGCAACACCGATGAGTTGTAAATTTTTTTGTTTTAAAACATTTGTTGTTTGTGCAGCAGCTGATGGTGATGAACAATATTGAAGATAACGGTCTAGTAATTGCATACAAACGTGTAATGAATCTTGTGATAAATGAAAACGACAATAAAATAGTTGTATTAGCCATTCGACCAATATTGTTCGATGTTTTAGTGCCATTTTCCATATTTTTGATGGTATTGTTGTCCTTGTTGATGTTACTTGCAAGTACGAATTATCGATTTGATAATGCGATTCGAGTGCATAGAGCAAATTCATTATATCGCGAATATAATTCATTACATATATTTCACCATTGATCCTATGTTCATCTTCATCTAATTCGTCATTAAAATCGTTATCACTTGTCGATGGTAGTTCAATTGCCACAATTTTCAATTCTTTATGTACCGGTGGAATCATTGTAGGAGGCTGTATTGTTCGACGGTGGAGTGATGGCACTGTACGGGGAAGAGTTCGATGACCAGTTAATGATGGATAGAATAATGACCGTTTTCGTTTTGGTGGTTTATTTTCTTGATTATCAACAGCAATTTCTAAATTTTTGACTGTTTCTGTTAATGATGAGACAATAACTTGCTTTAATATTTCGCTTTCTTTTGTTGAATTATCACGTGCCGATTCGGACATAATAACAGCCAATTTTTGAACAGATCGATGTTTAAAAACAGCATTTTTCATTACACCACTACTAGTTTGAGGATGCTGTTGTTGTTGTACCTTTAGAGGAACATTCTTTGGATTCGTTTTAACATTAAAACCGCGCTGCACAACATTCTTCATATTTTGTTTGCCGTATGTGTTCGAAACTTGACTTAGTGATCGACGCTCCGATTGTTGTATGGGGGCCATTGAAGTGCATACTACTGATTGGCGAGCTAATGATGTTTTTGTTGGACGAACAGCAACTTCCGGCTTACTTGATGCACGCATTACTCAAGATTTTATTAGATGCGGAGAGAAATCGCTGATCTGAAAAAAAACTTGAAAAACATTCGCAACAACCGTTTATTCCCATTTGGGTTTTATTTCTTGAATCATTTGTCCTAGAGTACTTGAGACATTTAAATACATCTCAGGTTTCCAAATTGAGCCTGAAATAGTGAATCTCTAAAAAGAATTCTCACCCTAATTTGTTAGCCATTGCCTCTCAAATTTATCCTAGCATGAGCACAACTGAGACTTTAACTGGAATTGGTCAAATTCTTATTACAAAAAACAAAATAAAATAATTACTCCGGCAGTTATGTTTTATATCTCTCAAAACAAAAACTGCAGTTGTTTTACTTTCTCTCTATTTCTTTTTGTACTTTCAGCTTAGAAGATAAAGTGTGCAAAATTCAAACTAGATCTATATCTAAGTAAACTTTCACTAAGTACAATATGTAACATGTGTAAACGTCTAGCCTGTCTATCAAACCAAAAAGTAACACAAACTCAATAAACAAGTGCTGTTTCGATAATTCAAAAATATAAAGATACTGACTGTAAACTGTCTTTTTTTTCTTATTGCATTTGACTAAACTGACGCTTCGATTATCTACTGTGATTTGATTTTTTCCAAAGTTTATAATCAGATATATACCTATCTCACCATCGTGTGTGACTACATACCATTAGACGATAGGAACATATTATGAGTGAGAGGAAGAGAGAGAGAAAGAGAGAGAGAGAAAAGTTTGTTTGCCGCACATACAAAGACAAATTGGAGAAGTTTGAAAACTAAATAATAAAGCTTATGATCAAGACAAAACACTCTCATTATTATTGTATAATATGTATAGAGAAATATACTATAGAAAAATATACTATAGTGGACTTTTTCGCAGAGGAGAATATTGAGTAAGTTGATTTGATCATTTAACAGCAAATCATTTCAGCAAATAAAAGTCATTTCGATAATATCTGTATATACAATAATACAATAAGGTAAAGGTGGAACCTGCAGGCGATGATTTTTGTACTCGTGGCAGCTCTTGACAGCAGTTCATATGGTGGTTAAAAGCAAATAAAAAATTCCTTCTTGCCTTCTAATTCTAGAAGGCAGCGAAGTCGCATTTTTGAAAGTCGTTCTAAAATTTCACATCATCTTTCTCTTATTTCACTTTTTGATATATAAGTGTCTTTTACGCCAAAGTGAGTTAGACATTTTATTGCTAGGCAGAAATTCAGCTATATTCAAATTGTAAAAGTTTTTTTTGTTGTTCATATATTTAAGAAAATGTCAATGGACAATCATCAAATTTTACAGAAACTTATTAATAATTTGTCCAGTGATCTTCGACAACTTTCGAATGAGACAAAAAAAAAATATTCTCCTATCAAAGAGGTTTGTCATCTAATTTTCTACTTCCCTTAATTTTTTATTATTTTTAATATTTTTTATTATTTAAGGCGGCCGAAGCATGTAATATGAAGTTACGTGAATACAGTATGATTAAAGAGAATCTCAGTACAGGTAAAATAGATTATTTTGCTTGTAGTTTATCAATACTATGTCTTTATACATTCTTTGAATAGTGATGCGTGATGCGAGCGTAGAACTGTTGCAACCATTCGCACTTGGCTGCGATACAAAACAAATTAAAATTGTTCAATTATGTTTAACGGCAATACAGAAACTTTTACAACATCATATTATTAATCAAGTGAGAAAAACGATTGAAAACCATTTTTTTTATTAACTTTTCCCTTTATTTAATTTTCAGGCTTCGGCCGCTACAACGGTGAACATACTTAGTAATTTATGTGATCTGAATACAGAAGAACTAAAGATCTTACAAACAGTTTTGTTACTTGTTAATACAACTTCTGTTGTTGTACATAATACACTAGCAAACGTAAGTTCTTGTCTTTCGTGTGTTTACGAATAAGCGATTATTTTTTTGTTTCTTTATTTTTAGTTATTTGTCATTACATTTCGATTATGTCTCAGTAAAGATCCGACGATTGTCAATACAGCGACAGCAGCAGTTAGACAGTTAATAACTGCTGTTTACGATCGTGTAATTGAAGAAGATTCACAAGTATATGGTTAGCATCCGAACTATTTATTTAGAAAATAATGAATCAATTTATTTTAATTTTAGTTCTGCTTCTAACTAAAACTTAAAATTTTCTTTTTCTTTAGAGATTCCATCTACAGCATCATCTCTTAAAACTGAACGACCATTATTACAAGAAACTAATTTGATCAAACATTCAAAAGATTCTTTAAATGTTGAAGCATTACGTCCATATGCTAAAGATGCCTATTTATTATTTCAAGATTTATGTTATTTAGCAAATGGCGATCAATCAGTATGGTTAATTGGTTTAACAGAAATAACTCGAACATTAATATTAGAATTAATCGAAACAATTTTGATACACTATGCGTCTATATTTTATCACCATGATGAATTGCGATATTTATTAAAAGAACGAGTATCACCATTAATAATTAAATTATTTTCACCCGGAATGAAACACGTTGCTAAAAGTGAAAAATTATCAACAAATAACGTTCAAATGGGTAGTGGAAATTTGTACGATGGCGCTTATTTTCCACTAATAGCACGTCTTCTAAGACTTGTATGTATTCTAGTTCGTTTATATTTTTCGTTATTAATTACTGAATGTGAAATATTTTTATCGTTATTAATCAAATTATTAGAACAAGATAAACCCATTTGGCAACGTTCATTAGCCATCGAATGTATTCATAAAATATTAATACAACCAAATCTCTTAAAATTGTTTTGTTTATCGTACGATATGCAACCACATGCAAGCAAAATTTTAAAGGATTTAACCAATGGAATCAGTTCATTTATCCAATCATTTTTCAATAATAATTCAATTTCGACATCATCAAATGCTGCTATTTCAGTTCAAGCATCTTCGACATCGACGATAACCGAGAAGAAAAGTGAGTAATAAAAAACAATACTAGTGAATGTTTTTTATCACTACAAATAAATATGATTTGTAAAATTTTATTTTTTATATTTAGACAGTGGAAATACAAAATCAGATAATACAAATTCATACAATGGTGGTAGCAATACGAATACTGTATTATTCGTTTATCGTAGTTTATGTGTACCACAATATGTAACGTATCAGCAAGGTCAAGCAAAATGCCTTTATTTAGAAAATTGGGAAAAAGTTGATTGTCCACTAATACCCGATTCTTACGGTGTTGTCATTGCTTTTGCATGTATGTTAGAACTGGTTCGTAACGTTCAACTAATTATTGAAGGTAATGGAATGCGTGGTGATGTTATACCCGGTTCACAGTTAAAAACACCTATACAAATTAGACCATTTGATAAAGTAACATTAGATGAAAGAAATGAATATATTGAAATAATGAATTGTACGTGGCCAAGTATACTTGTGACATTTACACTGTTGTATGATGTTTGCTATGATGATACAGCATGTGAACACATATTAAAAGTAATTCAAACATATATTTCATTATGTGGTCTTCTACAGATGAACATTCAGCGTGATGCATTTGTTACGTGTTTATGTAAAATAGCATTGCCACAACACTATAATATTCATGTACTAAATAAGTATAATAATAATACAGCAAATGGAAGTGCAGAGATGAATTTATTACAAAAAATAACGTCCTCATTATCTCCTCAGTCGACATCAAACGATTTAGATAAACAACAAGTAGTGATCGTGGGAACACCATTACCAATGATAAACGTATCGACAAGTCAAACATCAGTTATGGTATGAGAGTGATACTAGTTTAAACGTTTTCATGACTCTCTAGTATTTTTTCATTCACTTGTACCCGTGAAGTTTTATCTTTTCACATTAGACAGAATCTGTTTTTTATTTTTCTCTCTGTTTATCTAACGCGAACAGCTTTTTTTTTTATTACTGTAGTTGACATCGAAAAATATTCATTGTATGCGTGCTATATTAGCTGTTGCCCATTGTCATGGCAGCATATTAGGAACATCGTGGCATCTTATTTTGGAAACGTTGCAACATTTAGTATGGATAAGTATGTATTTTGATTCTTCTGGTAGTTAGTTTTCTTTTGAATAATATCGCAGTTTTCTTTATATGTTTTGTATTTTAGTTGGTTTTCGACCATCAACTGGCGGGATACTGAAACATGTGGGTGTCACAAGTGACAATACAAATTCTGTCAATTCACCAGTTATTGTCACAGGAGCAACAGCTGATTTACCCATATTATCAGCAATGCTCTCTCGTTTATTTGAATCTTCTAAATATTTAGACGATGTTGCTTTACATCACTTAATTGATGCCTTAATACGTTTAAGTATTGAATCAATGGAGGTAGCTGTTAATGTTAGGGAGCCATCATTATTTGCCATTGTTAAAATATTAGAAACTGGTTCAGCTAATCTAAATCGAATTGATGTTTGGTGGAAGCCAATATCATCACATTTAATTGAAGTGAGTCTTCTTGGTTTCAGATCATATTATACTGTTTAAAATTAAAATCGTCTTTTATGATAAAAATAAAGCCTATCAGTTATGCACCCAAGTTAATTTGTCCCACTCTAACATAAATCATACTATATTCAGGTTTGTCAACATACCAACATTCGTATGCGTGAATGCGGCACAGAAGCATTAACATTATTAGTTCGAAATGCTTTAGATCATAAATATGAGAAGAACTTATTTGAGAATGAACGTTTGCTACACATGATTATCCAACCGCTGCAGGAATTGTCATTAATTCAACATTTTGATGTTAGACAAAAACAATTAGAATGTACATTATCTTTATTGAGAAATAATGGGCATACATTACAAACTGGATGGCCGTTAGTATTGAATAGTGCGTTAATCTCATATCTGATCTGTTTTCTATTGATTGAATCTGATATTGTTTTCTTTTAGTAATTGGGTCAATATCTCGTGAGCATACAGAAAATCTAATCCGTTTAGCTTATCAATGTTTACAATTAGTTGTTACAGATTATTTACCGACAATACCAGTACAATATTTAGGAATATTAATTAAGGTTGTGGCCAAATTTGGTTTTCAAGAACAAGATTTAAATATGGCCTTATCAGCTATTGGTCTACTATGGAATATGACAGATTATCTATTTCGAATGAAAGAACAAGAACAACAATTGAAAAATGTAAACGATTTTCTAGATATTAATGAAATATATGATAATTTAACGCCTATCGAAGAATTATGGATGATATTATATCGAAAATTAAGTGAATTAACCATCGATCAACGCCCGGCTATCAGAAAATCTTCATCATCCACTCTATTTACAATGATAACATCACATGGACAACTGTTGAGTGAATATGCATGGAATATATTGCTTTGGCAAGTATTATTTCCATTATTCGAGCAAGTTGAACAACTTTTTCATACATCATCGAAAGAACGTGAACAACAGCAGCAACAAATTCGTTCAGCTAATGCCACATCTGCACAAGACATAATGATGCATCATTCACGTGATACACCAGAAAAACAATGGGCGGAAACATACGTTATGATATTAACCGGTATTACAAGAACAGTACAAATAAAAAAGGAATTTCTATCCAAATTGGGTACGCATATATAGATGTTATTTTGCTGTTATTTTGTATGTATAGCATAGGTGATGATATTAGACAAGACAAGATTCGTAAATATGGAAAATCTAGCTAATCAGCAGTTAAAATCTTAAAAATCTTGAAGAAATAGATCAAATGAACATACAAAATGTTGCCTTTTGTTTAGACGATTTTCCAAAAGTGTGGACTATCTTATTGACCAACATAGAAAAGTCTTCACTAGCTAAAAATCCAGAAATAGCATTGGCTGCATTAAAATGTTTCAACGAATTAGTAAGTCCAGCCTCGTCGTCAACAACTACCACTACCAAAACGGTTTCAGTCGATATACATTCCACTAAACAGCGGACACCACCGCCATCAACTTCTTCTGATGATCAACAATTATGGCATCAAGCGTGGGTTGTGTGGTTAAATATTGGACGTTGTTGTACGAAATGTCCACCCGAAAAGGTGATTGTTATTGATCGTTATGATTCAAATATACCATCACAAA